TGCAACAGATATTTTTTTTAAAGAAATGCAGTGTGTGTCTTGGCTAAAAGTATGAATGTAACTTATTTTTTATTAAAGGTAATTTTTTGGTCAAACCTTGAAACTATACATATAAGCTCCCTTAAAACTTTTAAACCCCCCCCCCTTTCCCCTTGAAAAATTAATTGTAAGCATTGTAAGATAACATGAATGCTATAGAGTTGATTACTGAGGGTTGTATCCATTAATCAAATGCATGATTACATCAGCAAAGTCACAAACCTTTGTATATCATAAGTCATAACACTAAAAATCTAAAATGCACTGACCTGACAGCAGTTCGGGAAACATGACCCGTGATGATGTCATAAATGTTTGATGATGTCACTTCCTGTCATGGCAGAAAGTGTAGATGAAGGGATTAGGCCTAGTTTAGGCTGTAAACATAACTGTGATTAACTGTATCTGAATTTAACCAATGGCTGAATCTAATTCAGAAAGAGAGAGTGACACAGTGTTTCAAAATGCAACCCGTCGTATGATAATAACACAAAGGTTTTTCCCTGTTATTGACCAAAATTTGCCAGCAGATCAGATCATGGAAAAGGAGTAAGTGCACTGCATTCTGTATCTAAGTATTTTCTTATGACCTCAAAATGAGAAGCAGGATTTGATAGGGTGATGATGGAATATAAGGTATAGAATTACATAATACTAGTATAATATAACTGGATAACAAAAAAAATATTTTTTAACTGATCAGGATAGTGAACTGTCATTTATAGGCCATATTTTAATGGATGCAGATTGTGATTATAGTAAAGAATAACATTTGAACATAACGTTTTAAAATTTTTATAGAAGTCATTACTTTCAAATTTTCAGAGCACACAGCAATGGATAGCATAGCAGAATGTTTGAAAACAGTCATACTTTCTATTTTTCTGTAAATACTGTAAAATTACTTATTTTCATGGGTTAAAATTTTTGTTGCTTTAGGAAACACTCTTGGTTTGTGAGTATTTGATTTGGTGCAAGGATAAAGAATTGTGGAGTAACTATATATGAAACATTTTACACTTCATGGGGGACATGAATTCGTGGTTCTCTTCATTCCTTTAAAACAACAAAAATTAAATCCCACAAATATTTGACTACACAGTAAATGTTAGAATAATAACAAGCATACGAGCATCTCAAACTGGAGGGTCTTTAAACATTCATAAAGAAATCAGGAATACATCAAGTCGACAGAATTTAGATCATCCCCCCTCTCATGCCCTTTACAAAAAATCCTACTGGTAACTTTGCATAAATTTTTAATTGAGCATAAAAGAAATAGTTTTGCACCTATAATTTCTTCCATTCTGGTGATTACAATGTGATGGTCATTGTGTGAAGATATAATAATGCAGCTGTATGGATTCTAACGAAGCATTCCTGATGTCTATATACACTCCAATTATTTAAACAAATTTTATTGTATGATTAATATAAAAAGTTAATTTGGTTACAATAATATCTAACAACTTAGAAAAACTTTCTATTTTGAGGCACTGAGAACCATTTGAAATAATTTAATGCCAGTAATAAAACTAATTTTATGCCAATAATAAAACCTCTTTGCATTAAAACCTGTACTAAAACAAAAGTATTGAGTCTGTGCCTTCCTCCCCATTTCTATGCTAATTATTGATAATATTAGACATTATGAAGGTTTTTCTTGGTTATGACCTTGCAAATTAAGTTTCCCCTAAACAGCACATATGTGCCACCCGAGAATCAATTCATATGAGCCTTCTTTTTTTTTACAGATTTTTGACTTGTAGATTTTAGGAATCGTCCAGTATTTTTACTCCTCTTTGGTTTGTAGGAGACCTAACATCTTGTGTTTTATTGTTTTGTAGACGACTTACAGATGAGGATGATGAACTCAGTGAGGTGGAACCTGACGCAGTCCCTACAGAGGTCAGAGATTGGCTGGCCTTGACCTTCACAAGGTCAATGAACAATGTCCGACGAAGAGGACAAGAGAAGCCCAAATTCCGAAGTGTGGCTCATGCCATCCGGGCAGGCATTATGGTGGACAGGTAGGTAGAAAAGACAACACATTTAACTGGCTAACTGCTTTAAAAATTACAAAGTGTCAGTATAAATATCATTTAAGTGGAAATTTTTAGTTCCTAAGTTGGTTTCTGTTATGTACAACACAAATATATTCTTAATGTAATTATTGTCTTTTGTATAACTTTGGAGGTAGTTCAGAGGCAGAAAAAAATAAATTGCACAAGAAATTTTGATATCTAGTTATGATGTGAGAATGAACACGGTGAAATAAGTATGATTTTCTGTTGTAGAATTTACAGACGACTCTCCAGTTCAGGCACATTACATATTCCCCCAGCAATTCTATCACTTTTAAAGGTGAGAATAATTCACATTGCTAAAAATATGAAAACATATCTGCACTTCTAATGAAAATGATTGCATGAATGTTTTGTCTTTTTTTCCAGGGCATGGATGATTGGTCGTTTGATGTATTTGCACTGAACACAGCAGCAGAAGGGCATTCTTTGAAATATGTGGGTTATGAACTGTTACAAAAATATGACTTGGTTACGAAATATAAGATAAATAATTCAATGTTGGACTCTTTCCTCCTGCAATTAGAAGCTGGATATAGCAAATATAAGAATCCGTATCATAACCTGATCCACGGAGCGGATGTGACCCAGACAGTACACTTCATCCTGTCACAGAGCAAGCTGGCAGTAAGTATCTATCTGTCGGTCACAGAAAGCTGGAAGTATCTGTCACAGAGCAAGCTGCCAGGATTTATCTTTCAGTCTTAGCAAGCTGGCAGTAAGTATTTGTCACAGAGTAAGCTGACAGTACTTATCCATCAGAGCAAGCTGGCAGTACTTATCTGTCTCACAGCAAGCTGGCAGTAAGTTCTATCATAGAGCAAGCTGGAAGTAAGTATCTGTCACAGCAAGCTGGAAGTAAGTATCTATCACAGAGTAAGCTGACAGTAAATATGTCATAGAGTAAGCTGGCAGTTAGTATCTGTCATAGAGCAAGCTGGAAGTAAGTATCTATCACAGAGCAAGCTGGAAGTAGTATCTATCACAGAGTAAGCTGACAGTAAATATATGTCATAGAGTAAGCTGGCAGTTAGTATCTGTCATAGAGCAAGCTGGAAGTAAGTATCTATCATAGAGCAAGCTGGCAGTAATTATTTGTTACAAGTAAGCTGACAGTAAGTATCTGTCACAGAGCAAACTTGCAGTATTTATCTGTTCGTCACAGCACGCTGGCAGTAAATATCTATATGTCACATCTTCAAGCAAGTCTTAATCAATGTCACATTCTTGTTATCACTGAGCGTTGGTTGCCTATTGTTCGGCTCTTTCTATTTTCAGCATTGGTTAACAGACCTGGAAGTGTTTGCTACAATTATTGCCGCTCTGATCCACGACTATGAACACACGGGAACCACAAATAATTTCCACATTCAGACGGGGTATGTTTTATCCTAGTAGCACTAGTGTTATGATTAATATCACATATTCATAGCACTTGTTCAAGGCTTAAAATACTAAACACGGTGTGGAAGTAGTTCCTTGTACATAAATCTGTAGTCAGAATAAGAACAGTAAGTCCTGAATGATAGAAAAATAATTAGCCTGAGGATTTACTAGGATCATATAATATGTAGTAAATCTAGCCGGGGGGGGGGGGGGGGGGGGATAGCCAAGGTCAAGGTCTTCAGGTTAATGTGTCAAATTCTTAATGGCTTGAGGTGTAAATTCTAGAAGGCAAGGCTTTGTATTGGAAGAGATTATAACTGCATTAGGCCAAAAATAAAAATAGTCTTGTTTCCTGCTACCTGACCTACCCTATTTTTTTGCACCCGACCCTAAAGTTTTTATTTAGTTTTTGAGGGAAAATCGAAAATTTCATGATCAAAAAGTGAAAAAAATATACATTCAAGTGGTATTTCATGAAATATATATGTTTTAAATATGGACTTGCAAGAAACACTACTTATTAATAATATTTTAAATTATAATATTGACCAATGACATGTTTAATTTGGTTTTGTAATAGTTCATATCCAACAAATACCATTGGAAAAAAATAAAATAATATAAAAAAATAAAATAATTTTCCGACCTACCTACCCTATTTTTTTCAGGCTGGTAGCAGGAAACAAGACTATTTTTTTTTTTTGGCCTTAGAAGGCTATTCTTGACAGAAAGAAGTGGCTAGTAACAAAGAAATCTGGTTTCTTAGCCATGGTTACATAGCTATGTTCTTTCGTTTAAGCTTTTAGTTTGAGGATCGATGTTATAACTATTATTTATTGCTATTTCTTGCAGGTCCGAATTTGCTATTCTATATAATGATAAAGCAGTCCTGGAGAATCACCATATATGTGCCTCATTCCGAATCATGAGATCCGAGGAAGCCAATATACTGAACCACCTCAGCAGAGAGGAGTATAGGTATATAAAGATAACACTTAATTCACACACAGATTAAATAGCATAAAAACTAGCAGCATCAGCAGAGAGGAGTATAGGGTAAAGAGAAAAAATTCACACACAGATCAAAACAGTATAAAACCAACAGCATCAGGAGAGAAGAACATAAATAAAGATACACATTTACAAAATCTTCCTCCTTATCCTAGAACTATACATGTCAAAACAGTACAATACTGTATACAGGGTTATTTTCACCCCGTGTTATTTTCGCCCTTTTGCACTTGCAAACTATTTTGCCCCATTTTAAATTTGCCCTGTCATAGTTCTGTTTAAGAAATTCTACTGTGTAATTTGAATTTGCCCCGTTTTAAATTCGCCCAATCAAGAAAGGTGCGAAAATTTCCCTGTATACAGTACCTACCCACCACATAGAGATGGGTAGACACAGCAAGAAATTACATGAATTTTCCTAAATTCAGAGTTTCCGAAAACTATCGGTCCTACCGGCAAAACCGATAGAAAATCTAAATGTCCGATGAAATTCGCTTCAGTATCGGTCCGTGTGACCGATTGTGGTGAGGGCTTGTCCTGATTAATTTATTGTACTCTAATCTATTGCAATATCTTCATAAATGAAAAATTTCAATGCAGCAAGCTCCTATTCTTCGTAAATATCCATTATCTTATCCATTTTGCAGTTCTACTTGACTTATTTACTTCCAAAAACGATCGTTTTTTCCTAATCCGAATTTCCTCCATTCCTCTGTTATTGGTAAACACATGCAGTATATAGGTCAAGAGGTGCAATGCCCACTGAGAAAACGTAAAGATAATTTTTTAAAATTTACTTTTTATTTTGAATTTCTACTGCTATTTATATATGATTCAAATTTACAAGTGAGAATTAAACTTTAAATTTTAAAAAGAATTCTAGAAACCATGAGAAGTTTTCTTTTTCAAGAATTAACTTTTTTGTAATTAGTTGTTTCTTTCTCACAATATTTACTTGGGGCTAGTGACTTTATTGCTGCCACAAGCCTGTGTGACCTGGTGCCATGTTTGAATTAATTATAGTTGCATTTTATATTCCTGGTATCACAATCAGTGTTTGTGAGCCACAATTTTTTTTACATATTCAATGCCATTTTCTTTGAATTACATCTGACATGAGAAATACACTGTATATTTTAAAATTTATTCGGACTGATAGAATATATTTCGGACTGATAGAACACATTAAGTCATCAGTCCGAATGACTGATAGAAAAATTTGGTTTTCGGAAACTCTGTAAATTGGGGGGAAGGTGCATGTGGTCTATTTTCTAAAAGAACATGCTGCAGAAAATCAATGTCTTTGGCAACTTTTTGAGAAAAAGTTGGAAAATGCACAAGTTTTTGATGTTGTAATTGGCAGCATTTAGGAGGTTCTATAACTGTAACAAAACAGGAATTTGAATGATTCAGGAAGCATGAGTTTAATTTACACAAAACAACTTTATATCTAAGTAAAGCACAGGACTATATTTGTATTGAGATTGTTAATCCACATCTTCCAATGCAGTCATTAATTTTCCATCATATATAATTATATATGTGCTGTCTGTATTGTTTGTTAGTATATCGATCGTTTCCTTTGTAGAGAATTCCGATCTTTAGTGATAGAGATGGTG